TCCCGGCTCACCACGCGTGATGCTGGGCGCACGGGGCGGCTCCCTAGCACTGCCCAGAGTCTGGGAAGGCTGGGCCCTTCCTGTTGCTGACCCCGCCCCCTCCAGAGTCCAGCTGGGTCCGGTGGCTGCCATAGCGTCTCTAGGGGCTGCGGCTCTGCGTCCCCCGGTCCCTGTACACTTCCCCTTTTAGTGGGTATTTTTAGCTGGGTGTAAACACTTGGCAAAGGCTCCCACGCCCCTTGAAGCAGTGGCGTTTGGGTGAGGGGGGCAGGGAGAGGGCAGCCTGGGAGTTCCTGGCCCCAATTCCTCCCTCGTCCTCCCCTGCCCGGCGGTCTGGGCTCCCGAGAAAGGCCTGCCTGGGGCTGTGGCCACTGACCTCAGCGCCTGGGCACAATGCCCAGCCTGCTCCCGGGACCCCGGCACAAGGGCTGCTGGGAGCAGAGTTTGGGGCAGGAAGTCAGTGAAGAGCTCACCCCGCCACATCCCAGGGCCCTGTCCCTGAGCCGCGTGGGGGTGGGGAGGCAGCTGCTGTCCCAGTGGGGTTAAATATAGCCTGTCCCTTACGGGACCCTGGTGTGGCGCGGCCGGCCCGCCCGCCTCCCTGTTTGTTCATTCATTCGTTCAGTGTCTGCAGGCGCTGGGGCTGCAGCTGTGATGAGCTCCCTGCGCCCCAGCTGAGCCAGGGAACCAGGGAGGCCTCCCATGAGCCAGCTTTTAAAATGTGGCTGGTTTGCTACTGGAGGGAGGTAATGGATACATGTGGTTTAAAAAAAGACGAAACAGGAAATAGTGCAGTTAAGAAGCAAATGTCCCTTAAACTTCACCCCTCTCTGCTGCCACTTCCTGTAGCAAGCCCGGTGTCGGACATGGCTGGTGGGGCCCGCGGCGGGGGAGGTGGCCACCTGCCACTCCAGCACCCCACAGGGGCAGAGGTTTGAGTCCCGGCCGCCCCACTTCCCATCCAGCTCTCTGCTATGGCCTGGGAAAGCAGTAGAAGGTGGCCCAAGTGCTTGGGCTCCTGCACCCGCATGGGAGACCCGGAAGAAGCTCCTGGCTCCTGGCTTCAGATTGGTGCAGCTCTGGCCGTTGCGGCCATCTTGGAGGTGAACCAGTGGATGGAAGTCCTCTCTCTGTCTCTGCCTTTCAAATGGATAAATAAATCTTTAAAAAAAAAAAAAAAAAAAGCTGGTAGCAGCAGGGGACTTCAAAAAGTTCATAGAAAAAGGAAATAAAAGTAAGCTTATTAAAAAAACTGTGGTTTTTAGGATTTGGTTGCACCAATATAAACTTATCTTGAATGTTTTTCCACAGCTGCTTTGAAGTAGCATCGTGTGAGCTGCATCTAGCCTTTTTATTTATTTATTTGTATTTGTGTGTTTGAAAGGTAGCGCAACAAAGAGAAAGAGACAGAGATCTTCCATCCCCTAGTTCGCTCTCCAGATGCCCACAATGGCGACAACCAGGCCAGGCAGAAGCTGGGAGCCTGGAACCCCACCCAGGTCTGCCTCGTGGGTGCAGGGGCCCAGGCAGGTGGGCGGGGCCCTCGTCTGCCTCGTCAGGTGGGAAGCAGGGTTCCCGGTCTCCAGGGCGTTAGCATCGCAGGAGCCGGCCTGCCTGTGTCTGCAGTGGCCTGCTGGGATCCGTGGTGACTATCCAGGACTCCCTGCCTCCTGGAGAGGCACGGATGGTGAGGCCTTCTGGGAAGTGGCCCCCTGCTTGCACCTGGCCTCCCCGTGCCCTCCGGCTGCTTGCATGTCTCGGAGATGAGTCTGCCGGTGCCTTGTGGGTGCTCTGGGCAGCATCGCCCTGCCATGTTGTGCAGCGAAGAAAAGCCCGCCTGTGCAGGACGGGTGCGACATTTGAATATATTTGATGTACAGCTAGTGGGATCCAGCGAAGGGTGTGCGTATTTATTTATTTCCATTTTACTTGAAAGGCAAGAGGGAGGCCGGCGCCGTGGCTCACTAGGCTAATCCTCCGCCTTGCGGCGCCGGCACACCCGGTCGGGGCGACGGATTCTGTCCCGGTTGCCCCTCTTCCAGGCCAGCTCTCTGCTGTGGCCCGGGAGAGCAGTGCAGGATGGCCCAGGTGCTTGGGCCCTGCACCCCATGGGAGACCAGGAGGAGGCACCTGGCTCCTGCCTTCAGATCGGCACAGCGCGCCGCCCGTAGTGACCACTTGGAGGGTGAACCAACATTAGGAAAACCTTTTTCTCTAACTCTGCCTGTCCAAAAAAAAAAAAAAAAAAGGCAAGAGGGAGAGAGATCGTCCATCCACAGGGTCCCCGGATTCCTCCAACAACTGGGGTTCGAGCAGGCTGACACAAGAACCCCAGCTGGATCTCCCCTCGTGGTGGCAGGAGCCCGAGCACTTGGGCCGTCACCTGCTGCGTGTGCATCAGCAGGAACTGGGTCAGAAGTGAGTCAGAACTCAAACCCCAGCTCTCAGGCAGGGACGCAGGTGTCCAAGCAGGGTCGTGTCTCTCTCTCTCTCTCTTTTTTTTTTTTTTTTTTGAAAGAGTTACAGAGAGACAGGTAGAGAGAGAAAGAGATCTTCCATCTGTTGGTTCACTCCCCGCAAATGGCTGCAACAGCCAGGGCTGAGCCAGGGTGCAGTCAGGAGCCAGCAGCTTCTTTGGGGTCTCCCACGTGGGCCATCTTCCACTCCTTTCCCAGGCCATCAGCAAGGAGCTGGATCAAAAATGGAGCAGCCAGGACTTGAACCGGCACCCACACGGGATGCTGGCCCTGCAGGGCGTGGCTTTACCCGCTGTGCCACAGTGCCAGCCCCATCTCAGCTGTTGTGCCAAATGCCCGCCCCTGCGTGTGTATTTTCCTGGTGCTTTGTTTCGCTGCAGTGTGACTGTTAACCCATCCGTCGTGTGCCACCGTCACAGCTCTGGACACCGGCCGTAATTCCACACCAGTGCCCTCCCCCTGTGGTCCTGTTTTCCCTCAATCAAGGATCCACTTTAGGATCACTCATTGAGCCTCGTTTGCATATTTCTTTAGTATCCGATTTAACCTAGAACAGTCTAGAACGTTCTCCCACCTCTGGGCGGGGGGTGGTGGTGGTGGTAACGTTTAGTGATGTTGGAGTCTGGAGTCGGTTGCTTGTGGTCCCCTCGGACTGTGGCTTCCTGGCTGGGGCGGGTTGGACAGAAGGAGCAGTGCACGGCCGGTGCCACACAGCGGGGGCCCGGCTCGGCCCCTGGCTGTTACTGCTGAGCCCCGCTGCCTGGCGCAGGCGGCCGCCGGTCTCCCTGCTGTGAAGCCTGGGACTGTGTGCCACCATCGTCCTTCAGTGGCTCCTGTTGCCTTTGGCTGTCCACACCCCGGGCAGCAGCTGGAGCTGTGCAGGCCACCTGCCCTCCCGGGAGCAGTCTTGTACCCCAAGGTTGGGGGGAAGGGGTGGGCCCCGGGAGGTCACGTGACAGAACTCAGCGCCCAGGGAGGAGGCCTGGGTCTGCAGCCTCCCACCTGGCAGGGGAGGGGCTTCCCCTCTGGGCATCCTCCTAGAGCCTGCCGTCTCCGGAGTCATCACCGGCCGGCGATGGAGGGGTGGCCTGGGCCGGGGCCACGCGGGCCTCTCCTGTAAGCTGGGAGTAACGACAGCCCCCGCCACAGCCGGCAGGGTGCTGCGGATCCGCACGTGCCAAGGACCGGGCCTGGCACAGACCCCGCGCCCGGCACCCGGGCCTGCCATTATTTCTGTTATCATCATCCAGGCCGTGGGGAGGCGGCGGTGGCAGCTGTGGGCCGGAAGCAGTGTTTGCAAACTGACAGCTGGGGGTGACTGGCAGCTTGCAGCCTGCACGCTTCCCGGTGGCGGTGCACTTGGGGAAGGGTGGGGGAGGGGCGAGCTGGCAGGGCCCCCGCTCAGAAGGGCCTTCTGGCCGCACCCCACCCCCGTTCAAGTGGGAGCCCCAGTATAAGGTGGAGTGAGGAGCTCACAGCTCTCCCGTACCGTGCAGGGCCCTCCTGTGCTGGGGGCTCAGTCGTCCTCCTCGGGCCTTCTTGTCCCTGTCGAGGGGTTGGGGTGGACGGGCTGGCCTCGGGACCGAGGGGCCAGGAGTGCTCGGGGGAAGGGAGCCCTTCTGTGGCCGGGCGCTGAAGGGTTAATCCACCAGGCACTCCACAGCCTGCGGCAGGGGTCCCGGCCCCCCTTGCTGGTGCAGGACCTGGGACTCACAAAGGGGGTGTCACTGGCCCCCACACGCCCTAGGAGGAGGAGCCGGGTCGGAAGCTCCCCTCTGCCTGTCCGTGACCCTGGGGCTGAGGCTGGACGTGGCCGTGTCCCGGGCTCCCGCTGGCTCCCAAGGCCGTGTGCTGTCCTGCTCGGGCCCCAGCCCTGGCTGCTCACATCAGCACTGTCCCACGTGACGGGGGAGGCTGTCCCAGCAGCAGCAGCGGCCAGGGCTCCGGCCGAGCCTCGATCCCTGGGCGCCGCGAGGCCTCCATCTCGCCTGCCTCAGGGCCGGTTTCTCTGTGTTCGCTGCGGCATGGTCTCCCTGCTGTGCCTAGCCCGCTGCTGGCCGCGCCCCTCCGCCCATCTCGGGGACGCTGTCTCCCGGCGCAGACCCACCTCTGCCTGCGGGAGCAGAGGCTGGGCACGCGTGTCGGTGAAAGACCCGCGTGGGCTGAGGGCCTGCATGACCTGGGCTTCACGGCTCCTTCCCTGCCTCGGAGCCGCGCGGGCCGGGTGTGCTGGCCGGCGGCGGCTCCACTGCCGCTGCCCCACAGAGGCCGGCCTAAGGTCGGCAGCCCCCTTGATCCCCGGGTTCCCCGGCTGCTGGCCGGGCGGGAAGAGCCGGCCCCAGGTCCCCAGAGTGGGAGCGTCAGCCTGTGTCATCTGCACGCAGGGACGGGCCCAAGTCTCAGGGGCTGGGTGGGGGCCGTCTGCGCACGGCCCCGCTCCATCGTCCCTTCTCCCCGCAGCTCTGATGGTACCAGGCGACAGGCCGGCCTTGCTGACTCGGGGACACCAGCTCTCCTGAGACCATGTCGGCGATACAGGTAGCGGGAGGCAGGGGCCCCGCATGGGCTGTCCGTCAGGGCTTAGGGCGGCGGAAGGGGCACCTCATCCCTGCTTGCAGAGGCTGTGACCTGGATGGAGGGCGTGTGGGTGAGAGGGTCCCGGCCGCCGCCCCCCTGCAGGCCGCCTGGCCCTCGGGCACGGAGTGCATCGCCAAGTACAGCTTCCACGGCACCGCCGAGCAGGACCTACCCTTCTGCAAAGGAGACGTGCTCACCACCGTGGCCGTCACCAAGGTAGACGGGGACCCCCCGCCCCGGGCTGCCCCTGGGTCTCAGCCCCCCGTGGGGCCGGCAGAGCCTGAGAGGCTGTGGGCCGCCCTCTCCCCAGGACCCCAACTGGTACAAAGCGAAGAACAAGGTGGGCCGTGAGGGCATCATCCCCGCCAACTACGTCCAGAAGCGAGAGGGCGTGAAGGCGGGCACCAAGCTCAGCCTCATGCCGTGAGTACCCTGGGAGGGAGGAGGCGCCGGGCTCCGCCCCCTCGGGCCACCGTGACCCCCAGGCCTCCCCCCACCAGCTGGTTCCACGGCAAGATCACGCGGGAGCAGGCCGAGCGGCTCCTGTACCCGCCGGAGACGGGCCTGTTCCTGGTGCGGGAGAGCACCAACTACCCCGGGGACTACACGCTGTGCGTGAGCTGCGACGGCAAGGTGGAGCACTACCGCATCATGTACCACGCCAGCAAGCTCAGCATCGACGAGGAGGTGTACTTCGAGAACCTCATGCAGCTGGTGGAGGTGAGCCGGCCGGCGGGCGCCCACACACAGGCCGCCTTGGGGCGTGGGCGCAGGAGTCCGGGGGCCCTGCTGCTCTCACGCCTGACCCCGCGGGGCAGCCACGGTGGGGGCGGGGGAGACAGGTGCAGAGTAGTGAGCAGTCCAGGGCCCGGCGGACGGACCCAGAGACCGGGGTCTCACAGGCACTCACAGAGCGGCGGCCCCCGGGGCGGCCCAGGCTCCTGCACCTGCCCGGGCAGTGCCCACGCAGCCCCACAGCCGCAGGCAGCCGCCCTGCCCCTACTCCCTGGCATGGTGTGGCCTGACCAGGGAGGGGAGGGTCTCTGAGCGCACCTGGCTGGAGCTTAGTGTCCGGACTCAGCCAGGGTTCAGGATACCGGTGAGGCCCGGAATGGTAGCAACCGCCAGGTGTGGAGCGGTCCGGGGAACAGGCCACGTGTCAGGGGCTGGGCTTGCCAGAAATGGGGCGCCCTCCCCCGTCACAGCCAAGCCGGGCTGGGCGGGACCGGCCTCTGGCGCCCTCTGGTGGCGAGCGCTGGGCGTTGCGTGAGCGCCCTGGCCTGCCCTCCCCAGCACTACACCTCGGACGCCGATGGACTCTGCACGCGCCTCATCAAACCAAAGGTCATGGAGGGCACGGTGGCCGCCCAGGACGAGTTCTACCGCAGTAAGTGCCCCCAGCCCGTGGCCGTCCCGGAGGCTCGGGACCCACAGGCCCGCCTCCAGCCCTCACGCCCTCCCCGCAGGTGGCTGGGCGCTCAACATGAAAGAGCTGAAACTGTTGCAGACCATCGGGAAGGGGGAGTTCTGAGGTGAGGGGAGGGGCTGGGGCGGGGGGGAGGGGCTGGGGGCGGGGCCGGAGGCGGGGGGCGGGGCCGGGGACCAGGGACCAGGGCGTCAGCGCCTCTGCTCTCCGCAGACGTGATGCTGGGCGATTACCGGGGCAACAAAGTGGCCGTGAAGTGCATCAAGAGCGACGCCAGGGCCCAGGCCTTCCTGGCTGAAGCCTCGGTCATGACGTGAGTCCGGCGGCCGGGCGGGCGGGCGGGCGGGCGGGGGCGGGGCGGGGCAGACTCTGACGCCCCCGCCCCCTCCGCCGCAGGCAACTGCGGCACAGTAACCTGGTGCAGCTTCTGGGCGTGATCGTGGAGGAGAAGGGCGGGCTCTACATCGTCACCGAGTACATGGCCAAGGTGGGCCCCCCACACACACCCTGACCTGGGACCAGTGGCCGCCCCATCCCAGCCTCCCTGTGCCCCTCCGCGGAGTGGGGACCATGAGCGAGCAGTGGGAGGTGCAGGGCGTGGTCCTGGGGGCGGGGCTGACCCCGGGTCCTGAGTGTCCGCTGCCCGCAGGGGAGCCTGGTGGACTACCTGCGGTCGCGCGGCCGCTCGGTGCTGGGCGGCGACTGCCTCCTCAAGTTCTGCGGCCGCCCCCGGGGGCGGGGGGCTCAGGGGAGCAGGACCCCAGCCCGCCCCGGTGCCCCTGAGCCCCGCCCGTGCTGCCCGCAGAGACGTGTGCGAGGCCATGGAGTACCTGGAAGGCAACAACTTTGTGCACCGAGACCTGGCCGCCCGCAACGTGCTGGTGTCCGAGGACAACATGGCCAAGGTCAGCGACTTCGGCCTCACCAAGGAGGCCTCCAGCACCCAGGACACGGGCAAGCTGCCGGTCAAGTGGACGGCCCCCGAGGCCCTGCGGGAGAAGGTGGGGCGGCAGGGCGGCGCGCAGGCACGCGGGCCCCACCCACACCCACACCTATACCTTCGAGCTTGGCATCAGTGCCCATTCTCCTTCCTGTGCCAAAGGGATGGGACGTTAGGAAATATTAACTTACTTCTAAAAAAAAAATTATTTGAAAGGCAGCATTAGAGGGGAGAAGGGGGGAGGGGGGAGGGGGAGGGGGAGGGGGGAGGGAGAACAATCTTCCATCTGCTGGTTCACTCCCCAGATAGCTGCAACATCTGGGGCTGGGCCAGGCTGAAGCCAGGAGTCCAGAGCTTCTTCTGGGTGTCCCACATGGGTGCAGGGGCCCAAGCACTTAGGTGACCTTTCGCTGCTTTCCCAAGCACATTAGCAGGGAGATGGTGGGAAGTGGAACAGCCAGGTCTCGAACTGGGATGCCCGAACTGCAGGTGGAGGCTTAACCTGCTATGCCACAACGCTGGTCACCCTCCCCCTCCCCTTTTTAATATTTATTTATTTATTTACTTGAAAGGCAGAGTTGTATGAAGACAGGAGAGGCAGAGAGAGTGAGAGAGAGGTTTCCCATCTGCTGGGTCATCCCCCAATTGATCACAACGGCCGGAGCTGCGTCAATCCGAAGCCAGGAGCCAGGAGCTTCTTCCGGGTCTCCCTCGCAGGTGCAGGGGCCCAAGGACTTGGGCCGTCTTTTACTACTTTCCCAGGCCACAGCAGAGAGCTGGATGAGAAGTGGAGCAGCCGGGACATGAACAGGCGCCCATATGGGATGCTGGCCCTGCAGACGTTGGCTTTACCCACTATGCCACAGCGCCAGCCCCACTGGTCTCTTTTTAAAAAAAATATTTATTTATTTATTTAAAAGGCAGAGAGAGAAAGATAAACAGATCACCCATTTACTGGTTCATTCCCCAAATGTTCACAATAACCTGGGCTGGGCCAGGCTAAAAGTGAGAGACAGGAACTCAACTCAGGTCTCTGGGGGTGGCACTGTTGCTATGTTCCTGCTTGTAATGCCACCATCCCCTATCAGAGAGCTGGTACAAATACCAGTTGTTCTGCTTCTGCTCCAGCTCCCTGCTAATGTACTTGGGAAGGCAGAAGCAGATGGCTCACATGCTTGGGCCCCTTCCAGGTATGTGTTAAGACCTGGATGGAATTCTTGGCTTCTGGGATTATCCTGGCCCAGACCTGGCTGTTGTGGCCATTTGGGGAGTGACCCAGCAAATAAAAGACTGGTCTCTCCCTCTCTCTCTCTGGCTTTCATTTTTTTAAGATTTATTTTATTGGCCAGCGCTGTGGCTCACTTGGTTAATCCTCCGCTTGTGGCGCCAACATCCAATATGGGCGCCGGTTCTAGTCCCAGCTGCTCCTCTTCCAGTCCAGCTCTCTGCTGTGGCCCGGGAGTACAGTGGAGGATGGCCCAAGTGCTTGGGCCCTGCATGCGCATGGAAGACCGGGAAGAAGCACCTGGCTCCTGGCTTCGGATCAGTGCAGTTCTGGCTGTAGCAGCCATTTGGCAGATGAACCAACGGAAGGAAGACCTTTCTCTCTGTCTCTCTCTCTCTCACTGTCTGTAACTCTACCTGTCAAAAAAAAAAAAAAAAAGGATTTATTTTATTTACTTGAAAGGCATAGTTACAGAAGAGAAGCAGCAGAGACAGAAACCTTCCATCCACTGGTTCACTCCCCGAATGGCCACAACCACTGGGGCTGAACCAGGCTGAAACGAGTAACCAGGTGCATCATCTGGGTCTTCACATGGTGGAGGGGCCAAAGCACTCGGGCCGTCCTCCACTCCCTCCCAGCACATTCGCAGGGAGCTGGGTCAGAAGTGGAGCAGCCAGGACTCCAACTCCACCCTTATGGGATGCTGGAGTTTCAAGTAGCAGTTTAACCCGTTATGCCACAATGCCGGCCCCCTCTGCCTTTCAAACAATTTTTTTTTAATCCAAGTCTCCCACATAAATGTAAAGACACAAGTAGTTGAGACATCACCTGCTGCCTCCCAAGGTGCAATCAGTGGGAAGCTGAATCAGGAACAGAGCTGGGGGTCACACCCAAGCACTGGGACATGGGATGCAGATGTCCCAAGCAGCGTCTTCAGTGATGGGCCAAATGCCTGGCCCAGGACATTTTAAACTGTCAGTGTGTCAGACAAGGGATCACAGAGATGTGGGGCCAGGCGCCTCCTCTCCTCTGAGGACCCAGCCAATCCACTCCAGAATCTCAACAGCCCGCGTGCACTTCAGCTCAGACCTGGCCCACCATGGCCGAGTCTCGGTGGACTCTGGGCACATCTGACAGCTCCCGAGGAGGGAGGTGACGCGGGGGCAGGGCCGGGAAGCTCGCGCTTGTCTTGAACAGCTTATTTCCTTCCCCGTAACATCTGCAGTGAGAGAACCACGCTGTGTTCTGTGAGGCTCTGCCAGCTCCCTTTCCATCAGAACAATAAAGGCCCTGTCAGCAAGCAGCAGGGAGAGCAGAGCCCTAGAGCGTCTGATTAAGGAGAAAGAGCAACTCGGCCCTACTTACAGGAGTTGTGCCGGCGCCGGAAACTCTTGGACTGGCTCAGGGATTCCACGTGCCTGTCCACGTAGCTCCTGGAGCAGTGCTGCTGGGGCGAGACAGTGGCGTCCTGGCTCCTCATGTCTGTCCTTCTGGGGATGGTCTGGGGGGCACTGCTGGAAGAGGTCGGCTTCTTGACCAGCTTGCCTGTGCCGTTCTGGTTGATGCCCACTTGGTACCCCACACCAGAGGGACCTAATTCTGGCTGATGAAGGTCTCCAGAATTCTGGCTCTCTCCAAGACCTGGTATCTCCAGAATTTTTAATTCTGTAATGTCACCTGCCCTGAAATAAACAAGAGGATCCAAGTCTCAGAATTCTACTCGTGGTAAGAAACAAAAGAAAAGGCCCCACTGGTCAGGACTGCTGTGCAGCGGGTTCTGACGCACTAGGAGAGGAGACAGGGCTCAGCTAGGAACACTCAGCCGGCACGGCACTGGTCTCTCAAGAGACACTGGCAGAGCCGGCACTGTGGCACAGCGGGTAAAGCTGCCACCTGCAGTGCCAGCATCCCATATGGGCGCCGTTTCGAGTCCTGGCTGCTCCTCTTCTGATCCAGCTCTCTGCTGTGGCCTGGGAAAGCAATAGAAGATAGCCCAAGTGCTTGGGCCCCTGCTCCTGCGTGGGAGACCTGAAGAAGCTCCTGGCTTCGGATCAGCCCAGCTCCAGCCATTTGTTGTAGCCATTTGGGGAGTGAACCAGTGGATGGAAGATTTCTGTCTCTGCCTTGGCCTCTCTGTAAATCTGCCTTTAAATAAATAAATCTTAAAAAAAAAAAAAGAGAGAGAGAGAGAGAGGGAGGGGCACTGGCTTGTCCCAGTAACATTCATTCCCTTGCTCACCAACAGGCATACAGAGAGCACTCACGGCTACGTGGTGAGCCCTGGGCTAGGAACAGGCTACTGAGATGAAAACCACTGTGCACCCACAAGGCGCTTGCTCACAGTCGGGTCAGGGGAGAAGACTCAACACATCAATCAAAAGCAGAACGGGCTATGGCAGAGTGTGCTCAGGGACCACAGAACCAGAAGTAAAACACTGAAGTCAGCTGGGGAGGTGGAGGCAACACGTGAGCTCAGTCTGGGCGGGGGTGAGGGGATGGAGCTGGCCAAGCAGACAACGGGGGAGAAAGGTTTCTCAGGCAGAGACTGCAAACATGGCCATGGGAGGAACTGTGACCGTGACCGTGTCACTCAAAGGGAGGACGCATGGCTCTCAGGAATGAGGCTGCAGGGACAACCAGGGACCAGACAGGATCTCGCTGGGTTTCTCCTCCCACTGGCTATAGTGAGACAGAGAAACTAGAGGCAGAGGCACTAAGGAGACCAAGCAAGAAAGAGGAGATGAACCAGGTGAGCGACAAGGAGACGGGAGAACGGGCAACGCGGCATTTTCACAGGATTCAGCAACCACCTAAACGTGAGGATTAAAGAGGACGAGTCTACTATGACTCCGAAATTCTAACTTGGGTGAAAGGCAGACCTTTGGAAGGAGAAATCTACAGTTAAGCATGATGAGTTCAGCTCAGAAAACTGAAGTCCAGCTACCCTGCGTATTTCCAGGTGGAAGTGACCAGGGACAGAGCGTCTCGAGCTCCGACAGGGGTTGTGCTGAGCCCTTGCTGACGCACAAGGAGGCACCCACAAGACTGTCCAGGAACACAGACAGAGGAAGGAACCCACGACGGAACAGGAAGTCACCAATCTTAACAGGTGGTCTGGGGCTGGTGTTATGGCATAGTGGGTAAAGCCACCGCCCACAGCGCTAGCCTCCCATGTGGGTGCTAGTTCACGTCCCAGCTCCAATCCAGCTCTCTGCTAGTGCACCTGGGAAAGCAGCAGAGGATGGCCCAAGCGCCTGAGCCCCTGCTACCCACATGGAGACTCGTATGGAGCGCCTGGCTCCAGCCTGGCCCAGCACTGATCATTGTGGCCACCTGGGAAGTGACCAACAGATGAGTGCTCTGAGTTTCAAATGAGTAAATAAATCTTTAAAAAAAAAAAAAAAAGAAGAAGAAAAAGAACCTTTAAATAAAAAGCCTCTGAGTAAAGGAACAGAGGAACACAAAGAATACAGGGAAAGAAAACCCAACGTGATGGCACAGACTGCAGAGAGGGTGCTTCAGAGTTAAGGAGGCAGGCGCTTGGCACAGTGCTTAAGACACTGCCTGCTGGAGCTGGCACTGTGGCGCAGCAGGTTAACGCCCTGGCCTGAAGAACCAGCATCCCATATGGGCGCCAGTTCAAGACCCAGCTGCTCCACTTCCAATCCAGCTCTCTCCTATGGCCTGGGAAAGTAGTGGAACTTGGCCCAAGTCTTTGGGCCCCTGCACCCACGTGGGAGACCCTGAAGAAGCTCCTGGCTCCTGGCTTCGGATCGGCGCACCTCCAGCCATTGTGGCCAATTGGATAGTGAACCAATGGATGGAAGACCTCTCTTTCTCTGCCTCTCCTCTCTCCGTGTAACTCTTTCAAATAAAACAAATCTTTTTTTAAAAAAAAAGACACTGTTTGTGATGCAGCGGTGCCATACTGGAGCGCCGTCTCCATTCTCCATTCCAGCTTCCTGCTTACGTGCACCTTAGGGGACAGCAGGTGATGGCTCATGTACGCAGGTCCTTGCCGCTCATGTGGGAGACCCAGACTGAGTTCCTGGTCTTGGCTTCCACCCAACACAGCCCCAGCTATTGAGAGCATTTAGATTAATGAGCCAGCAGGTGGGAGATCCATCTAAATGTCTGCCTTTCATACTTGAATCTATCTCTCCTTTTTAAAAAGGAAAAGTACGTTCAGACAGGATTAGAACCGAGACTAAAGCGGGCGGTTAGGGCGCTGCAACCCTGACAGCAGCTACTCCCTAAGATGATAAAGTCAGCTAGCAGCTGCCAAGGGCAGGAGGCGCTGGAGAGCGAAGGCAGACTGCTCTGCTCTGCAAAGGACTGTGGGTAAAAAGGGAAGGGGATAGACAGGCAAAACCTGACAGCCAAAGCCAGGTCAGGGCAAAGAGAGTGTTACCATGGGAGCAGCCCGGGAATGAGAATGCAGGAGAAAGGAGCCAGGAGAAAGGCCAGAGCTGAAGACGCAGAGCCATGTAAGGTCAGCCCTGCACACAGTGGGAGTGGGTGTACCCACAGGAGAGGTTATGTGTGGCAGGTGTGGGGAAGGGGAGTGCTCAGCAAATCAAGAAAGCTCCTACCCCACAGCCTCCCTCTCCTTTTCAGGTACGTAAGAACAGGATCTGGGGCAGACCCCATGTGCAGTAGGCTAATCCTCCGCCTGCGGCACCGGCATCCTATATGGGTGCCGGTTCTAGTCCCGGTTGCTCCTCTTCTAGTCCAGCTCTCGGCTGTGGCCTGGGAAGGCAGTGGAGGGTGGCCTAAGTGCTTGGGACCCTGCACCTGCATGGGAGACCAGGGAGGAGCACCTGGCTCCTGGCTTTGGATCAGTGCAGCTCCGGCTGTTGCAGCCATCTGGGGAGTGAACCAACGGAAGAAGACCTCTCTGTTTCTCCTTCTGTCTGTAACTCTACCTCTCAAATAAATAAATAAAATCTTTAAAAAAAAAACAAAAAAACAAAAAAAAACAGGACCTGCCTGCACCAAACCGGTGAACACAGGCGAGTGAAGGCACAAGTCCAGTCGAGATTCACCAGCAAATACTGAGAAAAGGCCCTGCTCATCCCTGGGGGCTTCAGCCAAGGTTACAATACGCACTGGGGATGCACCATGACACAAACCTACACACAGAGGCACATGTACACGGGGAGAAAGCTAAAAAAGATCCCAAATACAAAATTGAGAATCCATAAACGAAAAAAAAAAGTTGCTCTGAATTTGACCCATTTAAATACTACTGCACACTGACAGTTAAGTAAAGTTCCGCAAACCCCTAATCGTTAGCTGAAAGCCAGAGTCGCAGCTGAACCAGATGGCAGCTGAGGTCAAGACCCAAGACCGCAGGCGCTCCCGCCTGACAAGGCCCTGGGAAGGGGGTTCTGGCAGCCAGACCCCCTCCCACTCAACAGAGCACCAGGCCAGGCGGGGGAGACCTGTCGGGACACTCACCTGAAGGTGACTTCGGGCACAAGACACTTCACCCCGTTGTGGAAAGGCCGCGTGAGAGAAATCGTCTGGCTGACCTGATCCACGGCGGACACTCTGCCCTGGTAGACACCCAGGCTCTCGCCACAGCTGATGGACACGATGCTGCCCAGCCAGTCAGTAGCCATGCTGCCGATGCCAGGGCACTGTGAAGAGAGGCAACGATTCAGTGCACCGAGGGACGGATTTTCCATTAAATTCAGACAGTAGATACGACGGCAGGCTCTGTGTCAAACACTGCTTAACTATACACACTCTGTCACATCCTTAACTGAGGTGATAGAGCACAAAAACAACCGGTACAACTGCTTCCAGCAGGAGCATGCGGGCTTTTTTTAAAGACAGACTTTATTTATTTATTTATTTATTTGAAAGGCAGAGTTACAGAGAGGCAGAGGCAGAGGCAGAGAGAGATCTTCCACCTGCTGGTTCACTCTCCAAATGGCCGCAACAGATCCGAAGCCAGGAGCCAAGAGCTTCTTCTGGGTCTCCCATACGGGTGCAGGGGCCCAAGCACTTGGGCCATCTTCTATTGCTTTCCCAGGCCACAGCAGAGAGCTGGATTGGAAGTGGAACAGCCGGGACTTGAACCGGTGCCCGTATGGGATGCCAGCACTGCAAACAGCGGCTTTACCCACTACAACACAGCACAAGCCCCAAGAGCACACATATCAATAAGCAAGGTTATGGGGCCAGCACCGTGGCGCACTAGGTTAATCCTCTTCCTGCAGCGCAGGCATTCCATGTGGGTGCCGGTTCTAGTCCTGGCCGCTCCTCTTCCGAATCAGCTCTCTGCTATGGCCTGGGAAAGCAATGGAAGATGGCCCAAGTCCTTGGGCCCCTGCACCTGCGTGGGAGACCTCAAAGAAGCTTCTGGCTCCTGGCTTCAGAATGGTGCAGATGTGGCCACTGCGGCCATCTAGGGAGTGAAACAGTGGATGGAAGACCTCTCTCTCTCTCTTAACTCTTTCAAATAAATAAAATCTTAAATATGTCTGGTGCCATGGCGCAGGTTAATCTTCTGCCTGTGGTGCCAGCATCCCATATGGGCGCCGGTTCTAGTCCCAGCTGCTCCTCTTCTAATCTAGCTCTCTGCTGTGGCCTGAGAAGGCAGTGGAAGATGGCCCAAGTGCTTGGGCCCCTGCACCCTCGTGGGGGACCAGGCAGAAGCACCTTGCTCCAGGCTTCAGATCAGCGCAGCTCCGGCCGTTGCAGCCATTTGGAGAATAAACCAATGGATGGAAGACTTTTCTCTCTGTCTCTCGCTCTCACTGTCTGTAACTCTACCTCTCAAATAAATAAAATCTTAAAAAAATAATAACACTGTTTGTCTACCCACATCCCATATTAGAGCGCCTGGGTTCACGTTCTGACTCTGCGTCTGATTCCAGCTTCCTGCTGATGCAAACCCTGCTGGTGCCCTAGGTACACGGGTCCCTACTGCTCATGCTGAAGGCTGAATGAGTTCCCAGTGCCTGGCCCCAGCCTGGCCCCGCCTCGGCTGTCGACTGCACTTGGAAAGTGAACCAGCAGATGGAAGCTGTCTCTCTCCCAGCCCTTCAAAATAAATCAATAACAGTGGTAACACCAAGTGCTAGCCAAGGACACAGAAAAACTGTCAGGCCTAAGTTCCTAATGGGAACGGTAAATGGTGCAGCCATTCTGGAAGACAATTTGGTGACTCACAAAAAATCCAAACCCACAGCTCTTGTGTGACCCAGTGTGGGGAGCAACTTGGAGCAACTCGGACTAGACTGTTACTGGAATTAAGACTTATTCTATGCATCTGCTCTCCCACAATATGGCGATGAGAAGGGAGAAACAGCTTCTACACAGCTGCCTCCAGTTCAACCAATAAACTGTAGGACCTGCTCCTGATTGGAGGAGAGCAGCGTACTCGGCGTGTGGGTAGCAGAGTTGGGATTGGTGGAAGAGGACTATAAAGGAGGAGAGAGACAACATGCACCAGGAACATCTAAGGGGAACACCTGTGCAGCCCCCGAGAGAGCCGGCCGGCGGTGTGCCGCTCCCCCGTGGAAGTGGGGAAAAGCGGCAGGGGAACCGCCCTTCCACGGAGGTGGAAGGGTCGGTAGCCAACCCGGGAAGAACCAGCAGCAAACCCGGGGAGGGCCGAGCAGACGAAAGAACAGCGCAGGGTCCTGTGTCGTTCCTCCACGAAGAGGGGGAGCGACAACCCAGCAACTACACTCATGGGTCATGCACCCAGAGAAAGGAAGACAGATGCTCACACAAAAACCCGTACCATACACAAGTGCTAGTATCAGGTTTACTTGCACCAGCAGCAAACTGCAAACAACCCAGACAATCTTTGACTGGTCAATCAATAATCTGCTGTATATCCATGTAGTGGGGGCAGGTGGAAAGCGCCGACCCCTCCAGAAGTTACATGCTACAAGATTCCATTCATGCAACACTTTAGAAAAGACAAAGCTGTGAGATGGAGAGCAGGGGGCCAGTCTTGTGGCGTGCAGGTTAGGCCGGTGCCTGAGACATCAACATCCTGTATCACAGTGCCGGCTCTGAGTCCCCACCGCTCTGCTTCCAATCCAGCTTCCTGCTACTGTGCCTGGGAAGACAGCAGGGTGACGGCCCACGTAGTCAGGCCCCTGCTGCCCACGTGAGAGACCTGGATGGAGCTATAATCTGACTTCAGCCTGGCCCAGTGGTGACAGCCATGAGGAGTGAACCAGGGGATGGGAGAGCTCTTTCTCGGTCTCACTCTCTTTAGGTTGCTCTGCCTTTCAAATAAATACGTCTTTGAGAAAAAAATAATGGAGAACACATGCGTGGTTCCAGGATCAAGGAGGGGTAAGCTGATGCTGCTGAGGAGGGCAAGGGGAGGGGCCCTGTGGTAAGGAAGTGTCCTGCAGCTGGACCACACCAATGTCAACACACCAGCAGTGACCCTGTGACAGCCTTGCAGGAAGTGCCCAGTGGGGGAAACGGCAGAATATATGGGACCTCTGTGTATTACTTTTATTATTATTTATTAGACAGAGTTATTGACAGAGAGAGAGACAGAGAGAAAGGTCTTCCTTCCGCTGGTTCATCCCCCAATTGGCTACTAGGCTGGCACTGCACCGATCCGAAGCCAGGAGCCAGGCACTTCCTCCTGGTCTCCCGTGGGGTGCAGGGCCCAAGCACTTGGGCCATCCTCCACTGCCTTCCCGGGCCACAGCAGAGAGCTGGACTGGAAGAGGAGCAGCTGGTACTAGAATCGGCGCCCATATGGGATGCCGGCACCGCAGGCGGAGGATTAACCAAATGAGCCATGGCGCCGGACCCTGTGTATTACTTCTTATAACTGCATATGGTTCTATCAGTATCTCAAAATAAAGCTTAATTTAAAAGAATCGGGGCTGGCGCTGTGGCGTAATGGGCTAAGTCTCTGCCTGCAGTGTCAGCATCCCATATGGGTGCCAGTTCATGTCCCAGCTGCTCCACTTCCGATCCAGCTCTCTGCTGCGGCCTGGGAAAGCAGTAGAAGATGGCCCAAGTAGTTGGGCCCCAGCACCCATGTGGGAGACCTGGAGGAACTTTTGGCTTCAGATCAGCACAGCTCCAGCCATTGTGGCCACCTGGGGAGTGAAACAGTAGACAGAAGGCCTCTCTCTGTAACTACCTCTCAAATAAATCTTTAAAAGTGAACAAATAATCAATGTTTTCCATCATTACATTAACAAAATACATGAGGAAATCATATGTGGTCACCAAATGCAGGCAGTGTAAAATCCAACACCCATCTATGATATGTGGAGGGCATGGAGGCTAGTGTCTACAAAGCAATGACAGCTAACATCATACTTTATGGTGAAATACTGAACGCGTTCCCTCCAAGCAAGCATCTGCTCTCTGACCACGTGTGCTTCCATTTAACATCACTGCAGATCCCAACCAGTGCAATACAACACGACACAAAAAGCCTCAGCACTGGAAAGGAGAAGGCGAACGGTCCACATCTGCAATGACATGATTATGGAATACCCAAGAACGCTGAGAAACAAGTCTCACTCCAAGAATGAGCTCGCAAGACCACAACACAAGCTCGATGCAGAAAAACCAGCTGGACTCCATATAACAGCAACAGACAACACCGGGAACTGAGAACACAACAGGGTTTTAGAAACACAGAATGCCTGGGAATAAGTCTGATGAGCTGCGGGAACTCTACGAGGAAAGCGAGCAAGGACTGCTGGGAAGCAGGAGGCGTCTACCTAGGCGGAGAGACGCATTCCACCTTCAGACGAAAGGATTCAGTGAGGTGCTGCCAACTCTCCCAGAATGACGTATGCATCAATACAAACTGTGAACCAAAATAAACTGGAAAGCTGATTCTAAAATATACAGAAAGGCAAAGTCTGCCGAATAGTCGAATCAAGAAAATGGAAAACAAAGATGTCTGACCTATCACATTTCACGTTACAGAAATCATGACACTTCCCCCACCCTAACTATTCTCCAGGCATGACGGCCCCTGCCTTGCTCTCAAA